AAATGAACACATTCTTAACACATTATTTATCAAAGGAAGTACCATTGAGCAGATCCGATTTTGGAGCACAGAGAAGCATGGCGATATAAATTGCACCCATTTAAGCTTCTATGGCTGCGTTTACACATGCAGCCCAAATCGTATGTATATTATTTTTTTTACCCCTTGTTGTACGGACTCAGGAGAGGCAAACGTCGAGAGCCATGCATCCTCCGAAACACGACCCTGCCAAGCCGCACTGCTTCTTGAAACACTGCTCGTTTAGCCCGGAAGCCAGCCGCACCAATGTGTCGGAGGAAACACTGTAGAACTGGCGACCGAAGTCAGCGTGCATGCGCCCGGCCCGCCACTGGAGTCGATAGAGCACGATAGGACAAGGACATCCCGGCCGGCCAAACCCTCCCCTAACCCGGACGACGCTGGGCCAATTGTGTGCCGCCTCATGGGTCTCCCTGTCGTAGCCGGCTGCGAAACAGATTAGGATCGAACCCGGGTCTGTAGTGCCGCCTCAAGCACTGCGATGCAGTGCCTTAGACCGCTGTGCCACTCGGGAGGCCATGCAGCCCAATTCTGATATTTTTTCCACTAATTGGGCTTTTGACTAATCACATCAGATCTTTTCACATCAGATCTTTTTCAGAGCTGATCTGATTGGTCAAAATATCAATTAGTGAAAGGAATATCAGAATTGGGCTGCCAGTGTGAATGCAGCCTATGTTTGCAGACAAGATACAGACATAAATCTCCATAAGGGCTGGCTGCCTGTGTAGGGGGCCAGTGACAGACGCAGTTCAGGTACAGAGCGTGTGGTGTATACAGTGCACTGAGTGGAGGAGGAGCCCTGCAAGGGAAAGGGATCCACGGTGAGTGACAGCACTAAAGGACGTTTGGGCCTGGCGCCTGTTGAGACCTCTGCCCAGCAGCAATGGAGAAGAGTGTCTGTTTCCTTGACGAGAAGCAGATCCCTCTATCCTCTGTCCCTTCCCCCATCTCCCAATGCTACAACGAGATTCCTCTCCAGGCAAGTCTCAAAGTGGTCTGTGAGACACCCAAACTAAAGATATACCATTTATACATATTCCAACAAATGAATCTAATCCAAACCCTCTAACTTCTTTAACTTCTTTATAAAGAAGTTGTGAAAATAATGCAGGTTAGCGTTTTTCGTCATGATTCTTACAATATAGCCAATTTTGACTTTGTAGCTGGCTCATCTAGTGGAAATCGCTCATTTCTGCCTCCAGTACAAGACTCATCCCAACAAACGTCAACCTGCGAAAATAATGGGAAAACACAAGAGTTGTACGTAACGTAACACCAGTGAGGAGCAAGAAGAGTATAGCTTGATTTGCTACTGGCAAATGAATAATTTCCACCTCCACACCAAAAGAACACCTTTGCACCATCTCACAGAGCAGAGGTCCATCCAGCACACCCAGACTATCCAGCCCTAAACCATCAGCCTGAGAGTCACAGCCTGTCATAGTAAACGTCAGAAACCCTACTGTATGGGATTACAATGGGTAAGCCTTGCCAATAGTAATGCTTCCCACTCTCATGGACGGGAATCTCACATAACATTTTGATGAAGATCTTTGGTGACAAATTGGTCATGAGAGAGGGGGTTCTGCTTAAGTCAATGGAGGATGAGTCCAGCTCTCCTTTCAGCTGCTATCATCTCCCTATTTTGGAGTATGATTAATTAGGGTATTTTGTGGTAAACGTTACTTAACTGGCTTCTTATGTTACAGTGATGGGACAATTGGTGGGATTAAGAGGGGAGGCTGTGCTGTAAGAGAAGAGGAGCTGCATAGACTCAGGGAGCACTGCCTTCTGTAGGCTACGCAGCTCCAAGCGTTCACAGAACACAGGTGGGGTGTCATTAAGTCATTTAGACATCAAACTGGACACCTTGAAATCCCCAAGGTAGCTTACCGTCTGCCTTCGAAACATTCTAAACAATTCCCTGCTGAAATGTATGCCTATAGAGTTGCTACATGAATTGCAGTATAGGAGCTTTGAAGTTTTTGCTTGCTTGTTACTAGTTACAGTGTATTACATGAAATGTGCCAAAATCTTCCAAATAAACACTTTTTGTCAAATAAACCTTTTTACCTGATTATATTGTTTAAATAGAAAAGGGGATTTTGTTATGTGATTTATGAATGCCTCATTTTGATTTTAGCTATTTTAAATTTAAAAGGACAGTCTACAGTTCAAACAATAACAAAGCGTCTACCCCGCCACTGTGTTTGGTAAACAGATGAGGGAGGGATGGGGCTGGAGAAATGTACCACTCTCAAATTCATAGACTGAGCTATGGATGCAAGGACCGACCAACCATCATATCAAAATAATAGTTTTAACATGTGGTTGGTTACAATTATACCCCAGCCATGTGCCTCATAATAACGTTTGTTTTACTTTTTCATATTGTATTCTTGTTATAGAAAAATGATCCTAAAATCTGAGTGAATGACAGGTGAAGTTCCCTTAAACACACGGTGCTTCGTTCATGCAGACATTCATTTCAAACATGCATTGACAGGTTTATATTCCTCTTAGAAAAGACACTGACGTGTGAAACGAGGAGACAATCCTGTAAGTAAACAGGAATTGAGAGTTTTGATAAACTGGTGCAGCTGGTCAATAAATCTTATTTAAAACACTTAAATTAATGTTTTCTGATGCCACTACAAATTGCCTAAAAACATTTACTAATAGCCTAACAAAACAGAAAAGCATTGATCAAATTAACAAATCTATTTCATTAAATTGTTGACAGGACCTTCTAATATTCTTTGACTTGGGTCAAATTCTATATTGTATTAATAAAATTGTGTTCAACATCATTAGTGGTTAAAACAGTAGGCTTATACATGCATGAAGTAGTATTTTCCATTATTTGTACTAGTCATTTACAACTTTTAAAATAAAGGTCAGGAAGGCCTACATGGAACAATTTATTACATTTGATAAATTGTCGAGAAATAGATTGGGAATGGATTGGGGGAAAGTATGCATAAATTATAAGTAATTATTTAGTCTGAATATACTGTAAGCATTTCGATTTGATTACTGACGATTTCGATTGTCATGACTGATAAATAAATGACAGAAACATGTGCAACTGTGGGCTATGTATTTATGCTACTGCTGGTACCCTATTCGAATTCATCTTGTTGGACTTGAACGAAAAGTTTTGTTTAAAATCATAAGATATCATATGTGCACGCTCTTCGTCATTTAAGAAAATGTTTGGAGGCATTGCAAAGCTTCTGGACGTTGGGGTCAAATATGTGAATGCCTTTATTTATTATTTACATTTCCCATTCCCTGCATTAGATGAGACCCTAACCTGTCTATTACATTGGGGCAGTGGAAGAACTCATTAATGTTAAACCCTGGTCTCTCTTTTCTCTTCCGGCGCGTCTCAGCATTAGCCAAGCATTGCAGGCTGGCGCCGCGGCCTCTCCACTTCCACAACATTAGGTGTAATGTTACTGTTTGTTGTGGCCTAAGCATACTAATAGGTCGTTGGAAGTCAGCATCAGTGTAAACCTGAGCGACATCCACCTTGCCGGGCAAGATCACTCAACCATGAAGACCTGAACAACAATTGAGTAACCAACCCTGTCCCAACAGAAGCGCATGACTAGAGAGCGACTGGTTTGGGATCATGCAGTCCGTCTGGTTATGGATAGATATCGCAGCTGCGAGTTGAATTTAGATTGTTGATGCTGCTATTAGAAGCACATCTGCTTCAAATCCTAAAATCCTCTTAAAACGCAATCAGCCTAGGCTATATAAACTATTCTGCAATAATCTCAGTTATAATGTCCATATCATACACTCTTAGAAAATAAATGGTTATATGGTAGTCTTGCTTCATATATGGTACATTTACATTTACATTTTAGTCATTTAGCAGACGCTCTTATCCAGAGCGACTTACAGTTAGCGAGTGCAAGACATATTTCTCGAGGCAAGCAGAAGTTCTGGAGCCTAAGTCTACGCCCTTCGTCAGTTATTGGTCAACAGTAGGGATTCTTCAATGAAGTGTGTGTTGTCATTCAACAATAGACAACTCGTGTTCATGCACATTTTTTCACTTCAGAAATACTGCACCAAACATCATAGTTAGATGTAAAATTGCACAACTAAGATCTCCTTGGCAAAAACGTCAAAATTAATGACAGATTTCTTGAGTTATCTTAGATTCATTCTGACTATTTCTAGGAAGCTATGGTGTCTCAAGATGGGACAAACATTTTTTCAAGCAAAGGTATTTTAAGGGAAGCATGAGGAAGACTTAAAGGTTCCATATAGAACCTAAATTGGTTCCGTATAGAACCCTATATGGAACCCAAGGGTTCTATATGGAACCAATGTTGGTTCAGTGAAGAAGAACCCCCAGGGTTCTGATAAAAAAACAACACCAAATGGTTCTATATAGAACCTTTAGGGGTGCCATGTATGAAGCAAGCAATACAACCCTTTTTGATTCTATCCAGAACCTTTTTTTATAAGAGTGTCCAACAGACAAACGTTATTCATCTTCATCATCATCCTCAATAGCTAGGAGAAAATATAGGCCTAATAACTTCCCATCCTCGCACCCCACCCCCATTCTGTCCCTCCTTACCCAGATGAAGTGAGATGTCTCGTGTCACCATGTAAGATGAGATAAAGGAGTGGTTAAAGTGCATGAGACAGGCGCATCACACACTTGGCTATTGGCAGTTTGGAGACGGTTTCTGGAGTGCTGAAAGGTATGCTCTGATATTACTACACATGATAGTGAGACCAGGTTGACTTTCACAGTGACTCAGACAGTGCTTATCAACTCACTTAGATCTAAGGAATTATTACATTCCTATTGAAGAACATTTGGAGATACCCGCTAATATCTGTTGTATGATTGATTTCATTTGACCACGCTGAAACTGTGCAGTTACACATTTGTCGGTCTTACAAATAAGCCTCTGTATAAACTAGTGATGCTTCCCAGTCCAGTGACTTCAACGCCATTCTCGGTGAAGGATATTCTAAAGATGGAGCAGCAACAACACCCCCACCAAGGATTCTTCTATCCAGATCAAGACGCACAGATGTCTCTGCAGCGCATGCACAGTGCACTTCGGAGCCTTGACTTACTTGACAGTCAGGATAAGTCATGCTTCTCGGGGGGAACACAGATGAAATGCAGCCTGAGTTCGGAGGACGTTGACATCCTGAGGGGCAGTTGTAGTTCAGCGGCTGAGGAGGAGACAAATGGGGACCCAGGTAAATTAAAACGATGTCGTTAAAACACACGCAGCGCTGGCTGCTGACATCCAATTACAGATATTTCTGAAAAGATCATTCGATTGGCCTCTGTCAATTCAAGAACTGAATTAAAATGTCAATTTTCGAATCCAGGCTCTGTCGCAGCCGGCCGCGACCGGGAGACTCATGGGCGGCGCACAATTGGCCCAGCGTCGTCCAGGGTAGTGGAGGGAATGGCCGGCAGGGATGTAGCTCAGTTGATAGAGCATGGCGTTTGCAACGCCAGGGTTGTGGGTTCGATTCCCACGGGGGGCCAGTATAAAAAAAAAATATATATATATGTATTCACTAACTGTAAGTCGCTCTGGATAAGAGCGTCTGCTAAATGACTAAAATGTCAATGTAAATACCCTGAATTAGGCTATTTGGATTTGGCCCCAATCCTGCCTCTTGATGCTGCATGACAGCCTGCCTCTCAACATATAGTGCTCATGCCCCCAACATTTGTATTTTCATGAACAATATTATCAGCATTGTTTAAAGGGGCAATAAGCAGTTGCTACATTCATTTTTGTACTTATAAATTAATGATATGTACCCATTGATTCTTGAAGAATATAACATATTAATTTCTCATGAGCTTGGTTCTTCAGTATGAAAAAAATAAAATGTATGCACTCACTAACTGTAAGTCGCTCCTGATAAGAGCGTCTGCTAAATGACTAAAATGTAAAATGTAAAAAATGTCAACTGTCGTACCCCATCAGAACCAAAAATATAAGCTTGTTTTACTCCAATGTTTGTAAACAAAGCAAATGTAAACAAACTCTATATAGCCTCAAAACATGGTTAAAACTGTCATGTTTATATCATGGATGGTCAGTCCTTACATCCATAGCTCTGTCTATGAATTTGAGAATGGTTACATTTCTCCAGCCTCATCCTCAGTTTTTTAACGAAACAGGTGCGGGTATGACGCTTTGTTATTGTTTCTACTGCTGATTGCCACTTTAATAGACGTTACATTTTTATATATAAATTAGCTAAACCTGCTATTTTGGAAATGTTTTCCAAACATAAGTTCATGGCAATGACGAGGCCTACCTATAGGAGAAAATAAAGGCTAGTAAAGGGTAATGAATTTACCTTCTCACCACATTTAAATTAATTTCCGTGTGAGCTTCATACTGTGACATTGCTGGGTATGCATGTGATGCAACAATTTCAATTGAAGTAGGCCTAACCCACTGTGCAAAAAACTGGGTGAATCAACGTTGTTTCCACGTCATTTCAACCCCCCAAAAACAACGTGATGACGTTGAATCAACGTGGAAAACTGTTTGGATTTGCAAAAAGTCATCAATGTAAGGTCATTTCGTATTTATTTACCCAACTTTTAACCTAAATACAATGACATGGTGATTTTTTTTGTTGATTTCACGTTGAATTCACGTTAGTTGACAACCAAATGTAAATCAAAACTGACGTCTGTGCCCAGTGGGACGTTTTTCACTAGGCAGTTTTCCAATGAAGGTATGTGTCTAACATCGCTATTTCTTATTATTGCAGGTATGCTTCTTGACGATTCGATGGGTTGTGATGGGGAAAATGACAATACCTATTCAGACAAGCCAAAGCAAAGATTGCGCAGAAAGCCACGAGTGCTATTTTCCCAAACGCAGGTTTTTGAGCTGGAACGGCGCTTCAAACAGCAGAGGTACCTTTCTGCACCAGAGCGGGACCACCTCGCCAATATTTTAAAGCTTACTTCTACTCAAGTCAAAATCTGGTTTCAAAACAGGAGGTACAAGTGCAAGCGGCAAAGACAAGACAAGTCTCTGGAATTGGCTGGATACCCACCTCCACCACGAAGGGTGGCAGTGCCCGTGTTGGTTCGAGATGGCAAACCGTGCATGGGAGGATCTCATTTAGCACCATACAATGTGACAATTGGCTCTTACAATCCCTTATATGGATATGGTAATAACTCATATGGTTGCAGTTATCCGAGTATGCAATCCATACCAAGTGCCACGCAAATGTCCAACAACCATATAGTTGACATGAACCTCATGGAAAGTGTAGAGGGGCCTTTCCAACAAGGACACTCTCAGGCAACATTACCGGGGATAAGAGCGTGGTGAGAAACTATTTCAAGACAACCACCCAACTCTCATCAAAGTTTTTTGTTTGTTTAGGTTTTTGTTTAGGTTTGGCTATGCAGCTGCAAGGTTACTTGTGGAAAGCGTCAACAAATAGGCCTGTAGGCAAATCCAAGTGTAGGCATATACTGTTAAAAACTTTTATATTAGCCTATATGTGTTTTATTCTAACTATGTGTATTGGTCTACTATAATTTCTTGTTTAACTATTTAGTTTTGTTTAGCTTATTTAACTAAGTTGATTATATTGCTCTGACGGTCTTTGTTCAAGACATGGGCTTTTTGTATATGACAATAAACCTTGATTTAATATTTCATTGTGCTGTGAGATCACGCCATCCTCTCTCTGCAACCCAATCATATTCTATTTAGACTTGTATTAGACCTACAAGTATGTTTACAACAATAACACAAACGATTAAAACGACTAAAAACAACAATATCAACAGTAAAAGGTAGGCCTAATGGGAATATACTACTACTAATTGTATTATAATTGTATAATTTGTCTTGTTAAAATACAATTATAGTTGTATTATTATTATTATTATTATTATAATACGGCCAAATTGATAATAAAGGTTTGGGGTTGCTCTATGCAGGGGATAAATGGCCCAAAACAAATAGCCTATAACGTTGCTTCATCTCTATTAGTAGCGTCGTTCGTTGATCTCTTTATGAAACCATTATAGGGTTTTCATCGTTGAGCCTGAATTTAGCTTACGAATTTGGGTCTGAATTGAGTTGACGTTGACAATTAATAGCCTAAACCTATATTCGGCACAAACTGAGATTAGGCTTCTTCAAATAGCCTATTTGTAATGTGGTAGGACTAATTGCTGATCCAATTAACGAAAATTACAATCAACACGCTACTGCTGTACTTTTTCTCCTTAACGAATTAAGTTTTGTTTTCTTTATCCTGAAAACGAAAAAAAAAACCACAAAGCTCACTTTTCCTCACTGATTGTAAAATAGCATTTTCATGTTTTTCAAACGTTCGTTTTATATTGTTAGACCATATAAATTGTTGCTAAATGTATCACTATATTGACATATGACCTGACATATGACCTGACATAAGCCCAACGATTTAAATGGTTCCACAATCTTAATGCTATCAAACCAAAAGGTCATTATTGTTCCGTCGACAAAGCCGCTGAACAATGTCACACGCGATAAGGCCGAGGAGCCTGTCCTGTCATGGACCTTGGGTAAAGGTAAACAAACTCGTAGACACAGTGGCTCTTTTCCTCTTAAACTTTCAATCAAATAGGGAAACAGCTTCCAATCTAACCTGTCAGCCATCGATAGGAGGGAGATAGACTACTAGCACCACTTGTGCTAACTGGATTGCACAGTTTAGATAACTATCAGTGAATGTAGCCTAAAGTGCACCAAATTTGCCCATTCCCGTCAAGACTTGAAAATAACAGATTTCGTGATAAAGCTATATGTAGCCTACTGCATTGTATCTTATGTATTTATATTCTGCTTACCTAAAATTCAATTACAGCTCTATAATTCTATTTTTATCAAATGTAAAATTATTTGTTGGCATTTCTGATTGTTTGAAACATAACGTTTTTGAAATGCTTATTCAATGATTGAAATGTAACTTTATTTATAATGAAATAGAAGGACAAAATATATAATAGAATGGATCGATTTATCAATTTAATCATTCAAATAGTGGTTTTATTTGGTAGCCAACCTGTGAATGTGGATTCCCTATGTGGCTGCCTGCCTGAGCCCTGTGGGGCAGAGATAGTTGTGAGCTGAGGCGCATCAGAGCTGAGATAAGGGAGAGAGTGTCTCAGAGCAGAATTTAGCAGCAGACAGAGTGGAGACCAAGACCTCTTGAGAAGATCAGATAAGATGTGTGTGTCGGAAGCTCAGTTTGAGGAGGAGATGGAATAAGGTTGGCACTTTGTTAAGGGCGAGATGAGACTCAGAGAATGGGGATGCATTACACACCCTTTTCAAAGACCTGGGCTCATCATCCGGTTTAGGGCTTACATCACGGGCAGAATAAAGCAGACTATAAATGGCAGATGCTGTATCCATCTCTGATCTGTAGTCATCACAGAGAAGGCCACCCTTCTGAGGCTTGAAATGAATGGATTTCTTTCACAATGTTGATTAAAAATCAGATACCCAATTTGGACCGAAGTAATGTTATTTATATTGAGGTGCTTGCTCTGGAATTGAAGACTAGTTACCGGTATGCTGTAATCTAAATTGTTCAAACTCCATGAAAATAACTTGTTCTAACTGATGTATCAAAATGGACACAAAACACATTTACTTTGATAAGGGGAGTGCATTAAACACTGATCCAATTGTGAGCCATGCTGTCACAAAGATCATTTTGTACTGGACTGGAGCAAAAAGGTTCAGCCAGGGAAAACATCATACAGTGGTGTAGTCATTGGGATTTATGGATTCAGCTCTGCCACTCAAGTCTTTACATCAAAGATATCAGACAGTGAAATGTATGAGTCATTAACCTGAGATAATCTCAAAGAACACATGATCAGTCAGTTCAAGAATGTTAATACCATCTAGGATATAATGTACACTACTGGTCAAAAGTTTTAGAACGCCTACTCATTCAAGGGTTTTTCTTTATTTTTACTATTTTCTACATTATTTCATAGTTTTGATGTCTTCACTATTATTCTACAATGTAGAAAATTGTAAAAAATTAAGAAAAACCCTTGAATGAGTAGGTGTTCTAAAACTTTTGACCGGTAGTGTATATATGTGTGTAAGAAAGGCACAAAATATTATGTATGTAGTGACCAACATCTAGAATGTTGACAATTTAGTAGTACAAACAAAATAAGTACAAATTGGCAAGAATTGATCAACCATTTTTAATACATGACTTATTAATACATAATGCATCCACAGACCAATATGAATTTGAGTTTAAAGCCAGACTCATGTTTTTTTTTTTAAGCTGTTCAATGCGTTAACATGGTTTTCAGCCAGAAAATAAGTCTATGGACAAGGTAAGACAGCAATCCATGGTTTGGTTTAGTTTCCCTGGCACCGTTTCTACATGCTAACGTTTTAGCATTGGTGGCACAAATCCCATTCAAGTCATGGGACCGATATTAGCATTTATCGCACATCATATTCCAAACATCTATAAGGGATTTTGTTGAGCTGCACAATACATTTTAGATATCTTCGGATGATTTGGACATGATGCGCGAAAAATTGTAATATCGATCTCATGACTTGAATGGAATTTGTGCCACAAATGCTAAAACATTACCATGTGGAAACGGTGATATGGAAACAAAACCAAAGCATGGACTGTAATTTGGGTGAACTATCCCTTTAAATCAGGATTCCCCAACTGTCAGCCTTGCGGGCAGAATTTGGCCCGCAGATTGTTTTATTTGCCCCCTGAAGTTTTCCGAGCACATTTTTTAAATTATATATAATTTACAGTATATATATATGTAAAAAAAAAAAAAATATATATATATATATATATATATATATATATATATATATATATATATTGTTGGAGATAAAAGACTGTAAAAACACTAGGAAATCAGCATCAAGTGATTTTAATTTTGGAAACCGGTTCCCAAGTATTCCCACGCATAATAGAGAGACATATGATCGTATACAAATGCAAGCAAGGTTTGAAATGATTATGTTTTAGTCAAATATTATATATATTTGGGCTTCTTGCAGTCAATTTGCAGTCTACAAATGATTTGTAATTATGTTCCAACCATCCCACAACTGAATCATCCTGATCTTCATCTGTGATTTCAAGCGATGTTTAGAACATTTTGTGCAAATCAAACCAGGACTCAAGCACTTCCCCCTCATGGCCTAGATCTAAACATCTGCAGATGGACATGCTCTTACTCAAGACGCATCACTCAACTGTCTACCATTCATAAACACTCTTTTGTCCCCTGGCTAGGATGTGCTGCAACTTACTGAAATACTGGAAAGACAACATTTCTCAACAACTTTAAACAACTCATATGTGTGCTGTTGCTATAGATACGTTGTTTGATGCTGTTGTGAAAACAGTTAGAAAATAACTTTGACTTCTCTCTATTTAACCAATACTCTTCCATCTATCCCACTAATGACTGAATTCTGTGTCGCAGGATTAAAAGTATGTTGAATAGAATAACAGTTGTAAAACTGTGTCAACAGTGTTCATGACCAGAGATGTAATTGAAATGGAGGCATGCCATCTCAATGTTTTCTGTTATTGGGATAAAAGTATGAAAGATATACACAGAACAATGTAACGCTATGGAATGTGGCCATTGGAAATGTCTTGATACTGACACCACTGTTCATTCATGATGATGACTACAGTCACACCATGAGGAGGTGATACAGGTAGCCCACCAAAGGCTTTTCACTTACTTACTTACTATGGGCCTAAGTAATTAAGTAAGTAAGTCAGTAAATACCCAATGGCTATTTAGTCAGGGATAAAAATTAGGAGAGATATTACATTGCCGTCCTCCTTTACTTCTAGCTATATCCCTATATTGTGGCTGTGTTTTTCTACATTATCCAAACATTAACCAAACAGTAGCCATAGTACATTTCAGATTTCCTGTCGATCTAGCTAAAATAAGAAAACAGTAAAAGATATCAACAAAATTGCATGTGAAAGATAATTCAGGTTGGAACGTTTAGTACAGAGGAGGCTGGTGGGAGCTATAGGAGGACAGGCTCATTGTAATGGCTGGAATGGATAAATTGAACGGTATCAAACACATAAATCATATGGAAACTGGATGTTTGACATCATTACATTAATTCCATTCCAGACATTACAATGAGCCCGTCCTCCTATAGCTCCTCCCACCAGCCTCTTTTGGTTTAGTGTGCAAATCAACCAAATATATTTGCAATGGAGCCTTCTGCCATAACACTGCAACTAATTTCAAGATGACAACCAACCAGGCGTAATCCATATC